AGCCCTGGGGGACCCCACTGCCCACATCCCTCCAGGTCGAAAATGACCTATCCACCACCACTCTTTGGGTGCGGCCCTCCAGCCAGTTAGCAACCCATTTAACTGTGTAGGTGTCGATGCCACAGTCCCCGTTTTTTTAATGAGAATGGGGTGAGAGACAGTCGAAGGCCTTCCTGAAGTCCAGAAAGACTACGTCCATTGCTACCCCTGTGTCTAAGGATTTGGTGACCTGGTCATAGAAGGCCACCAGGTTGGTCTGACAGGACCTGCCTCTAATGAACCCATGTTGGTTGCCCCTAAGAATAACCTCCCTTGCTGGCCCCTCGTGGACATGCGTCAGGATAATTCTCTCAAAAAGCTTACCCAGGATCGAGGTAAGACTAACTAGCCTATAGTTCCCCGGGTCCTCCTTCCTCCCTTTTTTGAAAATGGGAACCACATTAGCCCTTTTCCAGTCCTCTGGCACCACACCAGAGCACCATGAGTGCTCGTAAAGCCGTGCCAGGGGTCCCGCAATGACCTCTGCTAATTCCCTCAGCACTCTGGGGTGAAGGTCGTCAGGACCAGCTGATTTAAATATGTCCAGTCCTTCCAGAAGTTCCCTGACTAGATCCTCACTGACCCTAGGCCTGGGTGCGCCTCCCCCGGGGCTTGAGGGGGTCCTGGTGGACGGGCTGATCTGGTCCCTGTTGAGGAAAATGGAGGCAAAGAAATTGTTAAATAGGTTAGCCTTGTCATCTGGTGTGACAACCAGATTTCCTAGCATGTCTTGCAGAGGCCCCACGTTACCGGGTACCTTCTTTTTGCCCCCTATGTATTTAAAAAAGGACTTCTTGTTGTCCTTAATCCGGGTAGCTAGTCCCAGTTCCATCTCTGCCTTTGCCTTCCTGACTATCCCCCTGCAGCCTGGAGCAACCAAGGTATAGTCTTCCCTGGTGATGGCCCCTCCCTTCCATTGGGTGTACGCCTTCCTTTTAGCTAGGAGATGTTCCCGTATGCTTTTGGTGAGCCATGGGGGCTTTTGCTTTTGCTTCCCACCTCCAGCACCATTTGCAGGTGGGCTGCAGCTGCAGCACGGCTCCCCGCCCCCTCCTGCTCCCAGTAATGATGGTGGCGGAGCGAACCATCACTGTGGGTGGAGGTGAGGCACCTGTTGCCCACTGCCAGCTTGCAGTAGGACTGGGCACTCAGGGTGGGAGGCAATGAACTGCTGCAGCCCAGTCTGGCCTAGCCCAACAGCTCAGGGACATAGGCAGTGACTGGCCCACAGCAGCCTGCCCCCCGCTGTGGCAGTGCAGCCTGGGCTGGGGTGCCTCATGGGGCAGGGGTCAGCATCCGCCACTTCCCACCTCCAGCCCCATTTGCAGATGGGCTGCAGCTGTGGCACGGGACCCCGCCCCCTCCCTCTCCCAGTAGTGGGGTGCTAGAGCGAACCATCACTTTGGGCAGAGGTGAGGCACATGTTGCCTGCTGCCAGCTTGCAGCAGTACTGAGCACTCGAGGTGGGATGCTGCAGGCCAGGGCCGTGGGCAGCAGCAGGAGGCGGCAATGGACTGCTGCAGCCCAGTCTGGTCCAGCCCAATGGCTCAGGGACATAGGCAGTGACTGGCCCACAGCAGTCTGCCCCTCCTTCTCCCAGTGGTGGCAGAGGGAACTATCATGGCGGGTGGAAGCAAGACACCTGTCACCCACCACCTGCTTGCAGTGGCACCACGTGCTCTGAGCAGGCTGCTGTGAGCCAGTCGCTGCCTGCGCCCCTGGACCATGGGGTCAGGCTGGACCGAGCTGTGCTCCTGTGCTGTGGGGCTGGGCTGTTCTATTGCCTCCCTCCACTACTGCCCATTCTAAGCACTGCCGCAAGCAGGAGGCGGGTGACAGGTACTTCACCTCCCCCCGCCATGATGGTTCCCTTCATTGGGAGAGGGAATGGGTAGGGAGCCACACTGAAGCTGCAGCCCACCTGTAAACTGCAGCCCCCACATGGTGCTAGAGGTGGAGGGGGTGGGGAGCCATACTGAAGCTGCAGCCCACATGCAAACTGCAGCTCCCACATGGTGCTGGAGGTGGCGGGTGCTGCCCTCTGCCCCCTGGGACCACCTTAGTCCAAGCCGAGCTGCCACAGTGGGAGGCAGTGGTGAGTCAGGCTCCATAACTAGCCCTGGCTCCATCCCCCTGCCCTGCAGCCAGGTCACATCCCCTCGCCGTGGTCGATTGGCCCCCCTTGTAGGGACTCAGCCCAGGGCACCATGTTCGTGCCCCTAGAGGCCAGGGCTGGGGTTGAACCCCTCCGCAATCACTCTCAGGCCTGCCCACGCTTTCCCTCAGCTTAGTTTCCCTCCAGCCGAGGGCTCACTGTAGGGCTTCCCGGGTTCTAACCTGAGCCACTGCAGACATCTACCTGCATTTCCAGAGTCGAAAGTGAACATCTACTCACTTGCTTGCTAGTTCAATCTACTCAGGTTAGACTAACCTGCAAAGATTGAATCGATTCAGGCTTGGGCTTTTTACCTAGCCTTAATGTCCATTCCTCTCAAAAACAAATCTGTTGATAATTTGAGATTTGGGCATGGGCAGAAAGAAGGGTTAAACTTCCTAATTATGTCACCTCCTCAATTTTCTGACACTAGGATGTAAGTTTATAAAAATCCAATTAAGAGAGGTAAAACTATTCAGTTTACTCACTTTGTCAGCTCATTCTGGCACACTAACTCTGTGTCAGTCAAGCAGAACTGATAAAACCCAGACAAGGAGCATTAAAGGGGCAATGAGCAAGAGCTGAGGTGCTGCTTGAAGGTAGAAGTAAACGGAGGCCAAGACAGAAGTCTTGCAGGGAGTAGACAGCCAAATTCAGAAAGCTTAGACTGAAGTTTGCTGCTTAAAGTTAAAAGGAAATGAAAACCCAGGTGTGTAGCTACCATGTGACTGTATTAATAAGTTTGAAATGCCACCTGCTAACAACCCAACACTATCACCAACAATGAATAGAACATGAGTTTACGGTCCAGTACTAGTACCAGCAATGAACATTACATGAGCTGAATGTCTTTCCTAAATATTCAGCAGTTATATGCTGATAATCTAAATGATACATTTTAGAATTAACATGGCTGAGATGAATGAGAATTCACACATTAAAAATCTTCCATTTCCAAAAGAAAAATTATGCATTAGTTAATATTTAGTTGGGAAGGTTCTGTGAAAAAAGAGCTAAGTTTAATTTCAGAAATAAATGATGGCTTAGCGTTTTCAAACAGATGGTAGAAGCTCCTCATTCTACTAAGCAAAAGGAAAAGAAAAGTCTCGGCTGTTTTCAAGCTCATTTGTATTACTAAATATAAACTAGAAATAGACCTCTCTCAAGAGGAACAGAGATTAAACGGTTTGGGAAAATACAAATTAACTGAATATCAGTATTTTACAGAATAACCTGGATGCTAACCAAATCATTACTGGTACCTGAATTAACAGTTTTCAACTCAATAAATCGGTGCACTTCTGAGTTTATTTCTGACAGTGTATTATTAATTAAGGAGTTTAAAAAGAAATGGTTAGTTACTTTAAATTTACTTTGTTTCTTTAAGATGTTGCAGTCATTGTGGATTTTACCATATGTACATATGCATGCAAGATTGCATTCTTCTGAAAAGCTAAATTGGTTAGGGATTGTGCATATGCCCCCTTTGTCTGTACAACCCAAAGGCACCTGGATCTAGCAACTAAAGCTAGAGCCTAAGGTTTACCTAAGCAAAATGAGTTACTCTGTATACTTCCATCTGGCTGATGCAAGTGATAAGACTGAAGTAGAGTAACAGCCACCTTCCCTTTTAGGCAGACAAGGTTTCTTGGGTGAATCTGATCTCTTTTATTAGACCAACCCAAATAGTTGGAAAATAATTATTAAGCAAGCTTTCGGGTTCAAAAACTCTTCCTCAGGCTAAGGACGTTTCAGCAGTTGGTGTGTGCTCTTCCTGGATGGAATGAAAAGTAAAGTAGTCAGCGGCTGGGCTGGTATGCATACAAGACAGGTAGTCAGTGAAAATGTAGATTGAGGAGTCAATGGGTGAGAGACAGGTGGGGACGGGGGGGAAGAGAGAGAAGGGGGATGAATAGTGGAGAGATACCTGGGGAGTCAGGCAGGTTATAATGTGTCATAAATCCAATGTCTATATTTAGTCCATGATTTTTAGTATCCAGGAGGTTGATGAAATGGAGTTCATAGGCTCGTCTCTGGGAAGTGTTGTGTAAGTTTCCTTTGAGGATCAGGACAGGTTGGAGAGAGAGTGGTTTTCTTGTAAGAAATGTGCCCCCATGTGTATTCCTGTCTTTGATAGATTTCCGGTGTGCAGTTGTTGTTTGGTCTCTCCTACGTATTTTCCATCAGGGCATTTGGTGCATTGGATGAGATATATTACATTTCTGGAGGTGCCGCTGTAAGATCTGGGAATGCTGATGGCTCTGTTGTGGGGTGTAGTAATAGTGGGGGTGGTGGAGATGTGTTGGCAGGTTTTGCATTTCTTGTCATGGCATGGTCTGGATCCTTTAGGTGTCTTCTGGGCTTGAGGAAGTTTGCTTCTGGTGATGAGGTTAGTGAGGTTCGGTGCTTGTTTGAAGGCTAGGATGGGTGGCTCTGGGAAGATCTTTTTAAGAATAGGGTCTCTTTCTAGTATGGGTTGCAATTGTTTGAGGATTTTCCATAAAAGTTCAAGGGAGGGGTGATAAGTCATAACCAGCGGTGTGAAGTTTGTGGGGGGTTTACTTCTGTACTGCAACAGTTCTTCACGTGGTATCCGGGTGGCTGTTTCAAATGTGCGATCTCTCTCTCTGGAGGAGTGTCCTTGTTGGGTCTAAGCCTTTTTAAGATTGATGAGGTGGTGGTCTGTATTTTATCATTCTGGATACTGATCATTGTGTCTAAAAAGGAGATGCTGGTGCTGGAGTATTCTAGAGAAAGTTGGATGGAGGGATGGTGATTGTTGAATTTCTGATGGAACTCAATCAGAGATTGTAGGTTTTCAGTCCAAATGATGAAGATGTCATCGAAATATCTTAAGTATAGCAAGGGTTTGATGGTGCAGTTCTTGAGGAACTCTTCTTCCAGGTGGCTCATAAAAAGGTTGGCATACTGTGGGGCAATTTTGGTGCCCATAGCTGTTCCCATCATCTGGAGGAAGTGTTGATTAGTAAGAGTGAAATTGTTGTGTGTGAGGATGAAGCGTATAAGGTCAGTAATATCTCTGGGTCTGTATTCTGAGTTGTAATCTTGTTCCTGTAGATATATGTAAGGCAGGCTTGGATGCCATCTTGGTGTGGGATGTTGGTATATAGGCTGGTAACATCCATGGTGGCTAGGAGTGTGTTGCTGGGAAGGCGGTCTATGTTTTTAAGTTTCCGTAGAAAGTCTGTAGTGTCTTGTACAAAACTTGTTCTGTGGGTGACGAGTGGTTTTAGGATTGATTCAACGAAACCTGATATTTCCTCAGTTAGGGTCCCATGGTTGGATATGATAGATCTGCCAGGGTTCCCTTGTTTGTGGATTTTAGGGAGCATGTAAAAAGTCCCCATGTTAGGTAGTGGGGGGATCAAGGTCTGTAGTTTTTCTTGTAGTCTTGATGGAAATGATTTGATGGTATTGTTGAGTCCTTAGACCAACACGGCTACAACCTACACCTTCCCTTTTAGGCTTTTATGTACAAATGAGGCACCAAGGCACATGTATGGCCCTAATGGACACTGCTAATCAAAAGAATTTGATCTTACATGCACAAGATGCATGCAACTGCTGTGAACTCTATAGTGACAAGTATTTGACAAGACATTTAATTTATTTATTTTTAAAACTGATTACTACATACATTATTTGATAGTTGGTGGTGGCAAAGGGAAAAAAAAAACTGACACACACCCTTGATTTGTACCATCTCGTGGTTTGTTTCAATTTAGAACCCAACCATACAGTTCATTTATCAAGCAAACTGCTCATTTCTGACCAGTTTTTTTGGCTAGTCAAAGTCATATGCACTACCCTGTGATAAAGTATTTTTCAGGTTGGATACTTACACTGCAAATTCTTCTAGCTAGGTCACTGCCTCTTCAGTAAAGCACAGTGTGCACTTTTGCATTACATGAACAAATTAAGATACTAAAGATAGAGGACAATATTTTCTTTCCCCGTCTGTTTCTTTAACTATCCATTTCATACTATTAAATAAATAATACCTTCATTTAGAACTATTATGCAAAGAGAAACAGCACCACTTATAAACATAACCTCTATACTCTTTATATCCATCAATCTATTTCTTAAAATGTTTTATTCAGGGACAAAACTGAAACATTAAATAATATATAATTAAAGCAACATTCATTCCTACCTTGCTCTGTACCATTAATGCAAATGTTGAGATTAACATATGCACATGCTGGACCCACATGACGACACAAACCTCCTCTGACAAGTGTAATTTCTAGTTCCGATCCCTTCAGCTATAGAAACAAGAACATTACTTAAGTTTTGCTTTATAAAAGATGTAAAACAAAACAAACATTTCTCCTAAAATAATTTCATTTAGATGTTATGGATCATTAATTAAACAGTAATTACATTGTACACTTTACTCCTTGATTATATTCTTAATGTCTTCCCATCAGAGAATCTCAAAACATTCTATGAATCTGAATAAATTTACTATAAAAAGACCTGCCTATTCAAACACTATTTTACATGCAAGGAAACCTGAAACACAGAAGGGTAAAAGACCTAATTTTCAGAAATGCTGAATGCCACAAATCCCATTTAGGTCTGGCTCCCAAATATTGTTAACCTGTTAATCATGTCTTAAAATAGTAACCTGGTCACACCTTCAGGTAATTAATGATGCAACAAAATGGGAAACCAATCACAAAAATACTCCACACAATATGAATGATATTTTTGTGGCTGGTTTCCATGGCACCTTAAATTGAATCTATAGCAGGGTTCGCCACCATGTAGCTTGATACTAGTTGCACAGGGGCATTGGCTGATAGCACCCATGTTTGTTTTCAGGGTGCTGATTCAAAGGGGTCTAATCAGCTAGGCTAGAGTGCCAGGTGGTATGACATCAGGGCCATGGGGACCCCTGGGATTAGGGAGAGGTTCCCTGATCCCAGGGTCCCTGTGCACCGGGAACCTTTACAAACCATGTAGGCAGCCCAGCTGCACACACAGTTAGCTATTGGACATCCCTAGTGCAAGGGAACCCTGGGATCAGGAACTTCTCCTGGATCCCAGGGTGTCAGGACCATAAAAACCATGTATACAGCTGGACTGCACATAAGGTTTTCTGATATCCTGGTGCATAAGGTTCTGGGACTGTTTCTGGTGCAGTCCTGGAGTAGAGACCCACAATCCACTGATTGCCAGTCCTGGCCCTGGGATGATACTGGAGTCTCGAACTAGCTCCCATGAGGTCTTGGGGTTGAGACTGACAAAAAAATCAGCTGATTTTGGGTCCCCTGGCATGCCACCAAAATCTCAAACTGACTTTGGTGGATCTCTGGTGCTGAGACTGACAATCAGTTGACTGTCAGCCTGGAACTACACTGGAATCGAATTAGTTTTGGTGTGGTCCTGGGGCTGACACTGCCAAATCAGTTGATTTTCAATCCCAGCCCTAGGACCTGGCTTTCAGCTTGTCAGTGTAGGAGGAGCCTGGTATCATGATCCTAAGCTCCCCCAGCACTGGCAAGCAGTAACAACATGATTGGGATCTGATTCCTTATCCCAAAAAAAAAATCACACGTCCTGTATCCTGTAATCACACGTCCATGTGTAGTACAGTAGGAAGTGTGATTGTTGGGACTGAGAATCAAATTTCATTGCACCATTCAATGAACACGTGCCAAAGGTCCCAAAGACTACAAGCTTTCATAATGTGTAACCATGAGTGAGTGATCTGCTCAAGACTGAACAAGCCTAATAGAACTGTAAAGCAAAGAAACAAGCAAAAATAACCCGATCAGATCTCCCAAATCTCAAACTATGCCCCATTAAAAGAGAGAAAAGGGGAGAGAGGAGGAGTTGAGTTCAAGGAATTGAAAAAGCAGAAAAGTGTTTCTTGGGTATGCATCCTCTTAATGATTTTTGGGTATGCACTATTGCTTTCTGATCGTGATGCAGGTCCTTCCAATTCTTAGTTTCTCTCTGGAGGTGGGTCTGTGAATACTGGGAAATTTGGGTTGCTGTTCCTTTTCCGTGTTGAAAATTCTGTAAAATTCTTCAACTTTACTATGGTGCAGGTTCTGGGTTTTGAAGCAAACACTAAACTTGTTATTTCTTCTGTGACATTACTTCCATTTCCAAACAATCCATCTCTTTCCCCCCATACCAATCATCTTTCTTTTCTCTCTCCCCAAGACCAACTAATTTTCCCCACAAATCCCTCAATGTTCCAAATATAAATTCCGGGTGTGGCTCAGGCCAAGAGCCATAGACTTCATCTCTCAGTACATCCAGTAGCAAATGTTCTTTAGATATATACATACATATCCCACCAAACAACCTGCTTAGCAACAACATAGCCTACCAAACAATCTGCTTAAATATGCTATAACATCTCATAACACAAATTTCAAAATGTGCATATTATTGTATTCCTCTGTACATAACCCAGATGGTAACAAGTAACACACTATTTTTATCATTCTCAGGTTTTATATTTTGTAACTTATTTTCCATGAAATTTAGCCAACATTATCTGTGCTGGGTGAATTTTTCAAGTCTTTATATGAACTATTGAATGAGTCAATGGCTCAATGTCTAGTTGGGAGCAGATATGAACTGGGGTTCCACCGGGGACTGTCCTGGGTCTGGTATTGTTCAAAACCTTCATTAAATGATTTGGACAATGGGATTGAGTGCATTAAAGTTTGTGGATGATGCCAAGTTGGGTGGGTTTGGAGACACTTTGGAGGACAGGGCTCAGTTCCAGAACAACCTGAAAAATGGTTTCTAGTCAATCAGATGAAATTCAACAAGGACAAGGGCAAAGTCCTACACTTGGAATGGAACAATTATATGCACAAATACAGACAAGGAATGACTGGCTATGCTGCAGTACTGCAGAGAAGGACCTGGGAGGTTGCAGTAGACTATAAGCTAAATATGAAACAGTGAATTTGTGAAACTAAAGTTTATGTGAGCTAACTTCCCTTCCCCACCCCCAAAAAAGCAGGCACATGCACACTCAGCAGTTCCTTGTGAAAGACGAAGAATTAAACACTGTGCCAGAAATGCAAAGGTTTGTTTTTGAAGGCATAGATAACAGCTTCTCTCAATTTATAAAAGGCTCTCACCCTCATCTTCCTACTGTGTACTCTTAACTTTCAGAGTAGGAAACTTCACAAATGCTAGTGGATATCAGATTGGAGTTCAGCTTCATATTTTACTTTCCTACAAAAATTATCGCAATGGGAGTTTAAGTGTAAACTACTGAGAATGTAGGGGCATTAACCTATACCTAGTGCAAACCCTGCCTTCACTTTGGATTTAGTTCTCTAATTAGGAAATATTCAGCTGAATTATAGGATACAGTTCATTATACCTGTTGCATGGTAGAAAATAATTTAACACAGCTAAAAGCTGATGTTTCTCTTACCGTTTCAACTTACATAAAAATGCAACAACTGCTTGTGTCATTTTCAGTGTTGCCAACTCTCTTGATTTTATCACTGGAATTGCCTCATGTTTTCCTTTGAGTTACAGATCTGAGCTACAGATCAATTATAAAAGAATCTCCACATTCACTACCTATTGCACCTCACTAGTTTCCACTCTCTAAAGTGGCAGACAAAAAACTTGAAAATATGACATTTATGCTTCAAAACTGAAAGGCAAAGAGAGAACCCCACGTTTATTATTTTTAAAATCTTCACAATCCTTATTCTAACTTCAAAAATTATAAACAGAGCCCTGAAAAGTCATGTAGTTTTTAACACCTGCAGCTAACACAACAAATGATAAAAAGTGAAAGCAAAATTAAAGCTGTATACATCTCCATCGAGCAACATAGGACTATATTTATTCACTGAAAAATATTTCCAATGGGTGTTCTTTCCATTTTATTTCAGTTATTTTTACTGGCCACTCTAAATATGACAAAACCGTTACAGCAAAATGTGGGTAGTCTCCTGACCACTGCAGATATAAAGAGTAACATCTGTGCTAAGAAGTCCAACTCTGCAGTCAAGAATCATAGAGAAGTACGGCTGGAAGGGACCTCCAGAGGTCATCTAGTTCATCCCGAGGCAGGATGATCTCTATCCAAACCATCCTGTACAAACCATAATGTAAGGTCTACGTAAGAATACTGTCAACCCTGACACGACACAGACCTAACATCCTAGCCTGCCACGGGTAAATCAGGGGAACCACAGCAGGCAATGTCCTGCTTCTATTAAATGGTGTCAATATAACAAGCGGTAGAGGGCCATGCCTCCCACTACAGGGGAAGGCAAAAACCCCCACACTTCACATTAATCTGTGGTAAAATTCCTTCCTGACCTCAAATAGGGCTATATAGTCTAACTCTGAGAGGAGGAGTAAGACCCTGTTGCCAGGAACCTCCAGATTTGGTCCCAGTAGGCACACCCTAGTCAAAGTCCCCAGCCTTGGCTGTAGCCAACACCTTAAGTCTCCGAGGAAGGCTTAAACACACCTTGACACATGAAGCAGAAAACAGGGGAGGTGGGCAGGCCCACCAGCAAAACCCAAAGCATGGCAAATACCCACATTAAAACACAGGCATAGCAACACGTAGATCACCCCTGACCAGTGACTGTCCAACCTCTTCTTTAACATCTCCAATGATGGAGAGTCCACAACTTACCTAGGCAGTCTATTCCACTGCTACACTATTCTAACAGTGAAGAACTTTTTCCAGATATCCAATCTAAACTTACTTTGCTGCAACTCCAAGCCATTGGGCCACATCCTTCTCTATGCAAAAAGAAAGAAAAGGTACTTTCCCTCTTTTTTATGGCAGCCCTTTCAAGTATTTGAAGACTCCCCTCTTAATAGCTTTTTCTGCAACCTGAATATGCCTAGCTCCTTCAGCCTCTCGTACGACTTGCTTTGCAAGCCCTTTATCATCTTTGTTGCCCGCCTCTGGACCCTCTTTAAAATCTGCATGTTCTTTTTAAAATGTGAAGCCCAGAACTGCACGCACTATTCCAGATGAGACCTAACCAACACTGAGTAGAGAGGCACTATCATCTCTCATGTCCTGCACCTATTGCTTCTATTCATGCATCCCAAAACCATATTTGCCTTTTGTGGAGCTGCAAACTGCAGACTCATATTGAGTCTGTGATTTACCAATACTCCCAAGTCCTTTTTCATAGTGCTACCATCCAGCCAGATGTCACCCATTTTATATTTCCTTTTGATTATTCCTCATGAGGTAAAGCATCTTGCATTCATCTGCACTGAACTTCATCCTGTTAGC